TTTCATGTGATTTAATTAGTTAGTTATGAAGTTATAGTGATTTAATTAATTCCAAAAGCGAGTGTCCCACACTGTATATTATTTTATATTAAAATTTCAAAAACAAAGTTTCAAGTTATTTATTTTGAAAATTGTCAATAAAATTTTAATTTTTTATTTAATAAATTTAATAAAAAATAGTTTAAACTATATTTTTTATAATATAAGTAGGTTATAAAATTAATATTTAAAATTTTATTATAATTTTTTAAAAACTTATTATAATTTTAAATATGCAGGCAAATTTGCCTGCATTACAATTTAAGGGATATATTTATATTATAATAAAAAACCAATGTTTATTAAAATATATGTATATAAATTAAACTGTAATAATAAATTGCAAGCAATAAACCAAAATAGAAAAAAAAAAGCAACTTTATTTATCTTCAAAATCATACCTAAAGATTAAATTAATAACAAGTAATCAAATATTAAAATGGTTTATGTATAAAACCTTGCATCTAATGCCCTTGACCAATTAAAAAAAAAAATAGTTTATAAAAGTCATGTACTATTTTGTTTTTAATTATAAAAGATTAATAAATACTTGTTTGATTACAGAAAAATATATGTATATATATATATAAATTAAAATTTTGACAGAAAAAAATTTTTAGATAACCTGTATTAGTTATAGTATATTAAAATTTATAAAATATTGAACAAGAACAAATTCAATTATAGGTTTTATTTGATTTTAAAATTAAAAACTCTAAAATTAAAAACAAGAATACAATTCAAATAAAATGATCAATTTTTTTTTAACATTGCAAGTCCTTTAAAAATTTATGTAATTTTATATTACAACGTTTTTATTAAAATCATATTTTTATAATACTGCAATAAGACTAAATTTTTTATCAATGATGTCGCGTTATTAGCACATATACGATCGCATTACACTTTATATTAATATTTTATCGAAACCTCAAATATACTACCTGATATCTAATTTACAATTCCTAGAAAAAAGAAAAATACAAATTGCTTTCAATGAATTTTCAACCAATAAGTTTGTCTAGAGCATAAGGATCAATTCGTCCATCCGTTCAAGGTTGCCAGTTACTTTTCTTGAAGAAAAATCTTGAATAATAGATATTTCTCAACGGATTTTTTGAAACCACATGTGCATTATCAGATTTATTACGTACGTAACATTAATTAAGACTTTTCCAGATGAATAACTAAATCGGCAAGTTGAGAAAAATTTACAAGAGATGTAGGTTGTGGAATATCAACAACTAAAATAAAAAATGCGCGTAAATAAATAAAAATTTACAATGACAGATAATAACTGAATAACATTTTTCAAGGCAATATTACTTGTTTTCTTGGGTTGCAACATATTATTAGAAAGGTCGATAACCCATCCGCGTTCTTCAGCAACTGAAACAGGAATCATGTTTAATTAACTGATAAATGATAAATTAAATTCAAGACTAACCTTTCTTACCTGCCAAAACTTTTTCACGCGACAACCCTAGATATTTGCCCACATCATCCATAGTAATTGATGAATAAGCTTCGGATACCAAAGTAATCATGCGTTCTCGTAGATTTTCTGTAATCTTAGGTCGATTAATTCAAAAAATGCTATGAATCTTTCAAGTATTTACATAATACTTTTCTTGAGAACTTGCCAGCTAGTTGTTTTAGTAAAGGCGCAATCACAGGATTCCATTCTTGAGAATCTATGTAAGAGTATACATTCTCGTACTCTCGCTGCCAAAGTGCCATACCGATATCCCAAATAGAACGTAGCTCTTTTGAATTTGCTTTAATGTTGTCGGGCAAACGTTTCCAAAGGAATCTAGCTGATGGACTATGAAAATCCGCATGGTCAATAAAGCAAAAACTCTAAATAAATAATAAAAAATAAATAAATACTAACAGATCTTGCTGAACAAGATAACCAAGCAAAAAAGGGCCATAAAAATCTTCACCACTTATTGTATTGTTTGGTGTGAGCGCCAACTAAAAAATAATAAAGTAAATGAAAAGTGCTCATCAAGGTAAAGAAAATTCTATAAAACCCGAGAAACTTACTTGTAATTCTAATTCTTCGCAAAAATTTACGAGTCCATTAAAATCACTAGCTGTGATATGTTCTTTGATAGTGTCCATAATACGTCGAGTGGAGTAATAGTACTATAGGTTGTGATCTACGTGATTTTAAATTGAACGATAGAAGGACTTATTGGAAATTCAAGCAAGTCGTTAAAAAGTACATTATAGCAAGGCCTTCGAGTATCATCTTGATATAGTCACATGATACAGTACGTGTATACAATAAGATTACAGTATTATATTAGAGCCAAACACCTATCATCAATATAATGAAAAAAATTTTAAAAACAATAAATAAATATTATTTCTTTATTTTTTCTAAATAGTTAAACATTATTTCTTTATTTTATTTGTATAATAAAAAGTATATATTATGAAAAAAACAATATTTTTATATGCATGTATAATAAATTTAATATTAGTTCGCCTATAAAAATCAATTAATTAATATTAAAAAGAAAATTTAAAACAATATATTTTATTAAGTGACATCAAGTAACTATAAATATTTACTTAAAATTAAAAATAAATAGAAATTATTTATAAAATATAATTGAAAAAATTATATTTGAATTGAATAAAAATATTTGTTATTATATAGTATTAGCTTAATAAATTTATTTTTTTGTAATGAAATAATTAGTAAATAGCTAGATTATATAAATAACATAATAGTTTTGATATTAAGAATTTAAGAATCATATAGTATTAGTCACGGGACATTTCCCTTAATCAAGACTCAAAATGTTATTTTTATAATACAATTTATATTATGTGTAACAACAACGGGAGGGAAATGTCCCTTAACTGGTATATAAACTTATAAATAATTTATTAATAAATGTTTTGCTATATTAGTACAGCTTAATTCTAGTATAAATCTTTTTTTTTTTGGGGGGGTTTCCCCTCATAGGAAAGCATCATTTCTTTATTTGATATTGTATATAACATGGTATACA